ATGGCCATGATGTGTCCTGAAGGCCGTTTTCTCTATATCTTCGAGAGTCATCCAGACCTGGAAGTAACCTGACCGGAGGTCTAATTTTGAGAAATATTGGGCGCCATGGAGTTTGTCCAACAGCTCATCTACGATGGGGATAGGAAATTTATCCTTGACTGTCCGGCTGTTAAGCTGTCTGGCTGTTAAGCTGTCTGTAGTCCACACAAAATCTCCAAGTCCCATCCTGCTTGGGTACCAATAGAACCGGAGAGGAAAAAGGGGAGCGGCTGGGACGAATGATCCCTTGCTGTAATATCCGCACACTGCCTCTCTATTTTATCCTTTTGTCGGTGTGGGTAGCAATAGGGTCGGACGACGACGGGATCCAATCCGGCTATCAGAGGGATCCGATGATCGCAGGCTCTAGAAGGTGGAAGCCCCTTGGGTTCTTGGAATACTGCAGAAAAATCCGTGAGAAGCCTCTCCATATCTGTGGTGCGCAAGTTCTCACCTTGAAGTGTATGCAACTGCGTCTTTGATCTTATCCTGGTTCCCTACCATGTAACTGGTTTTCCATCCAGCTGGAATGTCATAGTCAGGGCGCTGAAATCCCATAGGATTGGCCCTAGAGTGATCAGCCATTTGACTCCCAGGACAATGTCGAATTCATCCAAGGAGAGTACGAATAAATCAGCAAGGAAAGATTATGATCCGACCTGAATCTTGGTGTCCTTGCAGATTCCGAGGCTGTGAACTCTTTCCCCGTTTGCCACGACTACCTGTAACTGTGGCCTGATTTCCATCGGTAGTTCTAACTGGCGGGTAGCCTGTTCACTAACAAAGTTGTGGGTGCTGCCGGAGTCTATGAGAATGCGTACTGGTTTCCCTGCTACCAGCGCCCTTAGTTGCATGGTTTGTGAGGTTTTGATCCCCGTGATTGCATGGAGGGAGATCTCGGGGTCTGATACTGCAGGTTCATCCTCGTCCTCTTCGGGTTCGTCTACCAGAAGACAGAATAGCTTCTTGCACCTGTGCCTGGAGGAGTACAAATCATCACAGTTGAAGCACTGCCCTCTTGCGCGTCGTCCTGCCATCTCAGCTCGGGATAGTCGTCTAATAGGGGGTGTTGTCTTGCTACTCCCTATACTTGATGCCGATCTGGAAGGGTTATTGGTAGGAAGCCTCGGTTCCCTGCTGGCGGTTGAAGAAGGAAGCACTCCTGCTGCCTTCAAAGGAGCCCAAGTCGTTGTTGGCCGACCTACATTGAGGGTTCCATGGGTGAGCTGTAGTTTCCGTTCGAAGGCGCGTGCGAGGTTCATCGCTGTGACTAGGTTGGGAGGGTGTTGCATCTCCACATCCACCCTTAGGGGTTCTGCTAGCCCCGCGGTGAACATATCGACTTGCTGATCTGCGCGAACCGAGGTTGCTCTGGCAAGAAGGGTTTGGAACTGGCGTTGGTATTCTGCCACGGTTCCAGTTTGCTTGAGGTTAATTAACTCGCCCAACGGGTTGCTTGTCAACGGGGGTCCAAACCTGAGGAGGCAATAGGATTTAAATTGACCCCAACTGAGCCCAGGTTCTTCCTGCTCCAGATGGTAGAACCAGATTGTGCCTCTTCCGATAGGTGGAAAGCGGCCAGACTGACCTTGTCTTTGTCATCAGTGCGCTGATTATGGAAGAATTGTTCGCAGTGATACAACCATCCTAGCGGGTCTCCGGTGTCGTTGTAAGACGGAAATTCTAGCCGACTATACTTGGGAATAACTACGGCTGTCGGGGCAGTGATCTGTTGTTCGCTGGACGTCTCTGCCCAGTCCGGACGGTGACTGTTGGTGGTGGCGGTTCCCTCGGAGTTTCTTTCTTTGTTGGAGAGGAACGTTTCCAACAGGCGTCGCAGCTCCCGGACATCATCCTTGACTTCACGAACCTCCATGCTGGTTTCTGCGAGCCTATGCTCCAGTTCGTGGACCCTGGATGGCAGCTGCTCCTGATCCCCCATGACGGTAGGCTCTGATACCAGAATGTTATGGGCCCGGGAGTAGGATCTCGTCACGGGTCGGTCCACGGGGAGAACCTCTTGCTTCCCCTTGCGCCTTCCCTTGCRTGCAGACCCTATTGTGGCAACCAAATGGGTGATTTGTCCAAGAGACCACCCGAACTCTCCTCACTCTTCTCTTAACTGGAAAACTGAATGCCTTTATTCCAATTCACAGCTCCTTAAATAGGAGATTACAAGAGGTGACTCCTTATTYYATTCGGCTAAGCTAGGACAATCCAACTTTAAATCAAACTCCTACTTCTAATAGGTAAACAAACTCCTACTAAGAACAGAACTTAACTCCTATATCTAATAGATAAGTAAGAACAGAACTGGATAAAGTAAGCTAATGGAGAGCTGGCAGGATAAGCTGACGTGGTAAGATAAGTTGCTGTGCGGGCCCTCCTCACTGCTGCTGCCGGCGGCGGCGGTATSTCCTTCCTACGAATGCATCCGCAACAGACTTGGGTTTCTATCTATCAAACACCTTGAGAATGAGCTGATGAGGAGAATGGTATGACAATTAATAGTGAACAAAATGGATGTGCTATTGGTGAATTCAGCTTGCTTCCTTAATATATCTAAATGGCCTGAATGATGTGTTGAGCATTAATAATGGCTATAGTCTCGGGTGTTCACTGGACCATCAAAAGCAACAGGATTCAAAAGTAGCATTAGGGCTGCAAATGGTATCCAACAGTCTGAATTCGAATACGATCCGTTAAGGGCAATCCAAATTCGATCTGTTAATAATTGAATCCACATCTTCCTATCCTTTTATACAAAATCTGATTCCGTTTGATTTAAATACATGAAATTTATATTGTATCTATTAGTAGAGATAGTTTGAATGTTCTGTTTTTACTAAATTGTCATATATTCAAGTTCAATAAAAATAATTTTAAATTCATTCGGTTCATGAAATACAATAATATCAAAGTCATTTTAGTTCATTTTATTAATTACATATAATATTTTTGAGTTTAATTTACTTTTACCATCCAATAGATAAGATCTGATTCAAATCAAATTTGGATCTACCTACATCTGATTAAATTCAATCAGTTTGCAGCCCTAAAAAAACCACGGCAAGAAACAATAGAGTTTCAAAAGCATCGGGGTTGTGGAACCAACCATGGATACATGGGCCCATAGTACTTGATGAAGATGAAAGCTGGTCTTTATTTTGCAAAGTTGCATTTACAGCTATCAGATGCATTCTTCTAAATTCCCAGAAGAAACTGGAAGTAAAACCATGAAGAAATGCTGGCACCTTCCTGTAGAACTTAACTGGTGAATTGGTTAGGGTTTCATCCACGGAAAATAACTCAAGCAAGCTACCATGTGGACTTTGATTGTTTATAAGAACTGACAAACGGGTATCTAGTTGGCACCTCACTTCTTTTTCTTTTTTTTTTTGATAAGTAATAGTAAATTTTATTGAATAATCAAAAGTAATAGATTATACATTGAAGTTTCCCAAATAGAGGTATGAGATGCAGCCTAAATAACAAATAAGATTTACAATTGAGCCCAAGAAAGATGATCTTTATGCACTCCTTGTTTAGCTAAGTAGTCTACCGCCCCATTAGCTGATCTCCTTCCCCGCTGAGTTCTTAGTTCTTACAGTCACATTCATAGTCAGCCATTTAAATCTTTTCACTGCCTCCATATTACAGTATCCGGTTCCTTCAACCACCCAACTATCATCTTAGAATCCCCTTCAATTAGCAATATGTCAAGGTTCAGCTCTCTTGCAAGCTGTGCTCCCCTCAGCATTGCTTGAAATTCAGCATGGATAGAATCCCCCACTCCTGCAGGCCCTGATTAAATGGCCAATATATGGCCTTCTGCAGTTCTGCACCCCTAAAAACACCGCCTATTCCTGAAGCTGGATTACCCAGGCTACTACCATCAAAATTGAATTTAATAAATCCATCTTCAGGAGGTACCCACACTGAAAAAGGCTTCTCCTCATAATTTGAGCTTTCTGCTACAGGTTCCCAATTCCACCACATATCATCAAAGGAAAAGAGGGAAAAGAAATTCAAGGTTTTGGTCCAATCGATAGCCCTGTTTACAATGCAATCCCAAATAGCTTCCTCACTTCTTTCCTTATCAATAAAAAGTTGCACCTCACTTTTAGGTATAGAACTTTGAGCTATAGGAGCCCCTGGCACTGTAGTTGCACTTGTAACCCTTAAAATGCCAATAGCAGCCCCAACACCTAGCCTTTCACTGCAGAATCCCCTTTCTTCTCCATCCCTTACATCAATGTCCCACTCATCAACCTCTACTTCCTCTCTGCTTACCATCAACAATCACAACACCTAAACCCATGCAAAGCCCTTACCTTTGGTGATAACCATACGAGTCTTGTGCACAAAAGCAAACACCTAAGAAACAGGGGATGGTTTTAAAGAGAGGACTCGGAATAATCTTTATAGAGTCTACCTAATCTCCTGCATTCTTGCAGTGTAGTCAGAAGTGATCATGAGTAGTGGAGGTCCTGGAGGAATTTTGTATGGGAAGCATCTTTTTTTTCTGTTTTTTGTTTTTGGAGAGGGGGGGGCTGGGGGAGGAGGTGTTCAGGATTTGCAGAATAGGGGCACAATTGGGGAAATTGTAGTCCTTTCTCTCCTTTTAAAGCAACATTGCGAGAATTTCTAATACCAACATCACCAAAGATGATTTACCAATCCAGAGACCAACTCTAGTGTTTGAAATCTTACCCAAAATATGATCAAGAACTGTGCCATAGAAAACTGAAAGTGGCAATTTATGTCACAAATTTGCAAGATACCAAAACAACTGACATGATAGAAAGTTGAACAAGTTTATTCAACACTGCAAATCTACTTAGAGTTAACAGCAAGATTAACTCAAAAACGGCAAGATTAACTAGAAAGAAAATATTTTGTTTTATGATAAGCTAGAAAAGTATTTTATGATGCATATCCCCAGCAAAAAGATCATAAGGGAGGTATAACTACAACTGAATCAATCATTTCTTAGGTCATAAACAGTCATACAAAACATACTCTTCCAGTATCTAGTTTCCACCAGATGGAACTACACCGGTGCCTTAACTATATATGAACAGACCCTTAACCATAGGCACTATTTAGGTAGCATCTCCCAATTTCCAACTCAATTATCTAGTCATGATGGTGTCTCTAACAAACAATCAAGGGCAAGTCCTAGAAGTTTGCAACGTTGTGAGTGTCTTCAAAATCAAAACATCAAAGGCCTGCAAATACAAGGCTGCATTGAGTAAACCAATGGAGTTTGGAACTACAAAAAGAAAGTAAAACTGCACAGCAACATGTAAATCAAATTATGATTACCTCATCCAGAGGCTGAGTCTGGTTGAGTTGCCTCTTGTCTGGGTCTTCTCCGCTCAGGAGGGGGACCATCTCTCCGTCTTTCATACCTTCTACTCTCATATTTTGATCCACTTCGTTGCTTTGGTTGATAGGTGGGGTATTTGCACGGTATTATCTCCCCATTAATATACTTATCACCTAAAATAATACACAATGGTTAGAACGTAAGTAAAAGCAAAACAGTCCCTTCATTGAGGAGATTACTACAAAGACACAACCTCCGTAATCCTTATTTTTCACATCTATATATGAATCCGGCAAGACCCAGAGAACTCCAGGCAACCCTACAAAGAAAAGAATTAGCAATCAACATACTGATATATACAAACATGGTGGAACAGAATTAGTGCATCCAGATTCCAGAAAAGAAATAAAAGAAAAATAAATAAATAAGTATTGTATTTATACTTATACGCTCACCCTTGAACTTCTCAGATGTTTCTTCTGAAACAGTACATTGGAATCCAGTGTAGGTGGTAGTACTGAAGGCGTACATATTCTTCTTCGCTTCTTCCATACTGCAAGAGGGAATGTAAAAAATCTCATATTGATTAGCTTGCCCCCAACATATTTTACAGAGAAACACCCCCTCTATGACCTATCCTCTGCAAGCAGCGTCAACATTACCCAGGCCCCATGGAACCCCACCCTAATAGGAACAATTTAAAAAAATAAAATAAAATAAACCTGTTATCATGCATAGTAAGTTAATGAGTAAAAAGGTCTCTAATGCATCATAAACACAACACCTAAACTGAATTCTGTTTTGCAACGATTACCTGTGTTTGTGTGAAATTTTATAATGTAGTACTGAATGAATGTTTCTCTGAAATATTTACTCTAAATTTGAAGTTTCACAGCTACTAAAAGTGAAATTCTAAATAACATCCGAATAGAAGTGCAACAGTGAGTACCTTCCCAATACGGTAGCAAGAGTATTGAGATAGGTATCGATCATCTGCTCTCTCGTCGGGGCTGGGTCTTTGGGAAATTCCATGACGATGAGCCAGTGATTGTAATCACAACCAGGTAGCATAATAGTTTCCCTAGGCTCATTACTATTGTTCCTCCTAGAGTCTCCACCGACCGCCGCTCGAATGTTTGTCCGAAACGAAGAAAACGAAGAAGACTTCGAAAGAGGAGCTGAGAAGTATGATACTGACTTGAAACGAAACGGAGAAACAAGAGGAACCCTTGATGCATATACTGGAACTGAAGGCCTAACTTTCGAGTCGGGGAGGTACGGTGACGGAGAAATTAGCATTTTAGAGGGGAGAGACGAGTTGAATGTCGCCATTACAGCTATAGCTGTAGAAGTGTAGATGAGAGAGAGAGAGAGAGAGAGAGAGAGTTGCAGGGATATGGTAGAGATGGGCGATATCCATTTATCTATTTAATTTTCGGTGAGATATTTTTTGGGCAGAGGATTGGTATAATTACTTATATACCCTGTAATTTTAGGGAAATTATTTAAAGGTAAATTATAAAGACCTCCGTAATATTGGGTCTGTCACAAAAACCCCTGTACTTTGTTTGCTGATAAAGACCCCTGTACTATGATCATGATACAAAGACCCCTTCTATTAGCCTTCTGTTCAAAAAGCCCATTACAATATTTTTTAATCCTCATATTTCCCTTATTATACCTGTTCGGACGAGAAAAACATTACTCATCTTCCTCGACCTCACTCTCCCTCTCTCCCCTCTGATCTCTCTTCTTCCTTCCCCTTCTCCTTAACAACGTCGGATTAAACCCATTTTCACGAGTTTGGTGCAATTGCACTGAACGAGTGAGAGGTTATACAAAGCTAATGCCTCTCGGACCGGAGCACCATTCGGACCGGAGCAGGTGCAGAAGCGGCGGCAACGTCCATATCGCTGTTTTGTTTCTGTAGTTCCGTTTCCTCTACGGGTCTTATTCCTCAGTACCCGGTCAAGATGCTTCACTACACTATAAAATCAGAACTCGGAATCAACCTCCCACATTTCTCTCGTTTCTCCCCCTGTTTTTCTCTCAAGTCGTTAACAGCAACAGGAAACAAGTAACTACTTCAAACAACCGAACCAGAGGGCGGAAGACGTGAGAGAGCTCACTCTATTGAACATCAACCCATCGAGAGCGGGGCAGCAACTGGTTCGGCGGTGACAGAGGTCGGAGCAGAAATAGAAAAAAGAAAATAAATAATAAAAGATGAAAAGAGAGGGAGAGAGGCCGGTGGTGGATTCGCGCCGCTGAGTTCGAATCTGCCGCTGCAATCAGTTGCAGCGGTGGAAGTTGGTGACGGGTTTGAAGGCGGAGGCGGCGGTGGAAGTTCCAGAGGACATCTTCAAAAGAGGGACGCCGCTGCAATCCTCTGATCTCTGATCCCCATCTGCCGTTGCTTGGACCTGAGCTGCATACTGCAAGTTCCAGAGGACATCTTCAAAAGAGGGACGCCGCTGCAATCCTCTGCCGGTGGAAGCGGAGGTGTCGGTGATGGGTTCGAATCCGCTGCCACTGCAATCCTCTGATCTCTGATCCCCATCTGCCGTTGCTTGGACCTGATCTGCATACTGCAAGTTCCATAGGACATCTTCAAAAGAGGGACGCCGCTGCAATCCTCCGCCGGTGGAAGAGGAGGCGTCGGTGACGGGTTCGAATCCGCCGCCGCTGCAATCTTCTGATCTCTGATCCCCATCTGCCGTTGCTTGGGCCTGAGCTGCATACTGCAAGTTCCAGAGGACATCTTCGAAAGAGGGACGGCTGGATGATTCTTCAGAACAAGTGGTGAGGACAACTGGATTCACAATTCTTTCTCGACCATCCTGGCTGCCAAAAGATGCCTGCAAAATGAGAATACCAGTCTCAGATTCATTTATATTTCAAGCAACGAAGTCCCAACATCCGCATACAAGCTGATAAGCTGACAGATTCAAGACTAGTTCTAACTCATTTCAAGCAACGAAGTCCCATTCTTTAACCCCTGAAAAACCCTCTTCAACTGATGCGACCCTTCTCTCCTGTGTTAGAATTTCTTTGTTCGTTTTTCTCTTTCCTCTATCTATCATGTCTTCTTCTCTCCCTTTTGTTTCTCTCTACTATTTTTTTCTTATTTTTTTGGGGTCGAGGAAGATGAATAGTGTTTTTTAGTTATTACAAAGAAAGTATAGTAATTAAAAAATATTGCAACGTTTTTTTGGACGGAAAACTAACGATAGGGAGTCTTTGTCTCACGGTCATAGCACAGGGGTTTTTGTCACAAAACAAAATACAGGGGTATTTATTACAGACATTATAGTATAAGGGGGTCTTTATAATTTACCCTTATTTAAATGGTTCGCATATGATATGGGAAAGATATGATAATATCTTTTGAGAAGTCTAGTAACTGTAATCACATCCTTAGGATTTTCTGACAGAGTTGTAAGTAGACGTTTCTTTTATAATCTTTTAAAAAGAGATACGAAAATGTCTAAAATACTTGTAAGATTATTATTAAGATTGATTTTTACATAAAAAAACAATATAAATTTTATAAACAACAAAAAAATAGAGAATTTAAAGTTGCATCTACATTTGAGTGATTGATATGAAGAGTAAATATGGAAAATAAATCAATTTCAAAAAAAAAAAAAGAGATAAGAAGAGTTTGGGTTAGCCATTCATATAAAGAAAATTTTGGAAAAATAAATATTTTAATCAAAAGTAAAACTATATGAGTATTTTGGACATTTTCATGGGAGGTTTCAGTATCAAGCAGAAACTTTAGGGGAGGTTTCAATAATTTACCCTAAAAATAATGGTTAAACACTTAAATTACCCCTATAGTTTAACAAATGTACAATAACTTATATTACTATTTGAAGAATTACTTAAAGTATCTTTAAGTTTTATGACAATAGACAAAATACTCTCTTATCATTAGTGCACATTACAATCTATTTGCATGTGATTTATATAAATTTTTTTAATTCCAAAACTAACCTTTTTATGATCAATTTTCCCTATATTATTTTTAAAATTTTTAAGATAAAAACCCAACGGCAATTTTACCGACAAAAGAGCCTTAGATAAACTAGGATAAATTAACACAAAAGAAGAGGAGTTCCATCCTACTCGAGTTTGAACAAAGTAAGGCCTCTTTAAGAATCTCATCCAGAGGATTCTATGATTACAATATTCAAACTCTAAATTGATTCCTGTGGTAGCCTACCCCTAAACCTTTGAAATTGGGATACTTGTAAACCCACCCCACCTTTGATCAAATCATGCATGCATTTAACAAGTACTCTATCTACTCAAATCATCAAATGGGACCAAAGTTTTAAAAATTGACCTAGAACTAGAACTATTCTAGCCACTGATTTCTAGGTGGACGATTCAACCATTTTATTCGAACGAACAACCCTAGGGGTACAAATGGATCTGATCATATGATCCTATCCAATCTGATTGGATTCAGATATCCTTGTTTTGGATTTTTCGGATCAGATCAGATAATCAGATCTAATTAAAAATCGGATTGAATTGGGATCACCCCTATTCGATCCGAAAGGATCCGATCCGATACATATGTTATGTATTTATTTATTTATATATAATATATATGTATATTTGTTGTTTATTTATTTATAAATGTGTTATTTATATTCCATTTTTTTATATTATTTATTTTTTACAAAAAACATGTATGTTTATTGATGAAAATAGTTAAAAATATACTTGTATTTTTTGTTTTTCTCTATTTAAACAGTTATATTTTCTTTTCCTTTTAATAATTCATTAATTTTTTTAAAAAAATTAATTTGGATCAGATCAGATTCGGATATCCAACATCTTGATCAGATTTGAATTCAAATCAATACTTATGAGATATGATTGGATTGGATCGGACTATAGTGTTTCGAATCATATTCGAATATACCTTGATTCAAATATGATCCGATCCGTTTGCATCCTTAGACGACCCGTTCCAACTAAAAAAATTAAAAATAATTAAAATAAAAAACAGCTAAACTTGTTGAACGGGTCAACAGTTCAACCGCCCAGGTCAGCAGATCGCAAACCAAATCAATGGTCTTTTACCAAGGATCGAGTTGAGGATGAAATGGAACCAGTTTCTTGGTCAGTTCTTGGGCCAAACAGTCTAACCGTTTGGGTCAATGGTGGTTCAAAAACACTAAATGGGATTATCCGATGCATCCTACTTGGCAGGGCTCCTTGTCGATCACAATTGTAGTAGTTACTCCCACCCCACCGTGTGTGGAAACTACTCTTACAATGTGCATGCATTGTGTAATCGAATGTCCACACACCTAGGTTTGAGTGTCACCATTAATGTTTCTATTTTCGAACAACAAGGGCAACGAGAGGGATAGGCATCTTGATGACTCAGTTCTGTACAAATTTAAACTTAGGTTGTGTTTGGAATCGATGCAAATCAAGAACGATGTAAAAGTTTACACCAATTCAGTTTTGTTTACATTTGGAAGGAGTGTAAATGAAGATTGATGTAAAACTCCACTCCGGTTTAGATTTGTTGGCGTTTGGATGGAGTGGAGTTTTACATCGTGAATCGATGTAAAACCTCGTCAAGCATAAAGTTTATTGATTATCGATGTAAATACTACATCGATTTTATCAATGTAAAACTTTACACTTTTCTGTCATGGTTTTCAAAATGTAGTGGTCACCTATTATATGGTTTAGTGTAAAACGTCATGATGACATTTTACACTAGATCCAAATGAAGCCTTAAGAACAATTTTTCTGAAGTTGTGGATGGTATAAAGCAAGCTTTGATTTTAATTCGATCTTTAAAGAGTAACTACCAACTTATAATGGTGGGGAGATGACATGGGACATGCAAGGCGCTTAGTGGAACTATGGCAGATTGGAGTGAGAATACAGAGCTTAGGGCTGCTCGGTGACATACTTGCATCATCAAAGTTTTTCAAATAATGAGTTCTTTGTATTGGTTGTGCAAATAGGGTTGTGATGTATTTAGACCATGTTTAAGAGTGCTTAAAAATAAGTGCTTATTTGGGCCATTAAGCACTTATTGGTATCTGGGAAATAAGCCCAAAATAAGGGCTTATTTTTTAAGCCCAAATTTCCATCTTTTTTTTAAGTGCTTATACAATAAGCACTTGCTAAATTTTTTTTTCTTCTAAAATTATCCCTAGCTAAATTTTAAAATTCTACTTATAAAATTATCCCTAGTTGAACTTTATAAAAGTACTTTTATGAAAGCACTTTTATAGAAGTACTTCTACGAAAGCACTTTTACAAAACTACTTTTACGAAAGCACTTTTAAGAAAGTACTTTTATGAAATTCAAAGGGTATATTTTGAAAAATTGAAAAAAATGGACAAAATAGTCACAAATGCTTATTTAAGTGCTTATTAGAGA